CATTATTAATGTCCAATTGATAAACAGGCCAGTGGTGTTTAACAGCAACAACAAGTAAAGCTCTAACAGTGGTTATCTTGACAACAGGAGAGAATGTCTCATGATAATCAATACCTGCCTTTTGAGTGCATCCACGAATAACCAGCCTAGCTTTATGTCTTTCTAAAGTGCCATCTGATTTGAATTTTAACTTGTAAACCCATTTACTAGAAATAGGTTTCTTGCCCTTGGGTAGAGGACAAACTGCCCAGGTACCAGGTACCTGTGTTTTCCAGGGCTTCAAATTCCAGACGCATAGCTTCCTGCCATGCTGGATCCACACTAGCTTCTTTGTAATTCCTTAGTTCCTGCATATGTGAGACATTGTGCAAAAACTTTTGACTAGCTTGAGTTAGTGCTCCTAAACATATGTGTGAAGATGTAGGGGTACAAGTAATGGTGTGAGGGCACAAAGGATCAGAGAAGGAAGAATGAGATGGATCAGACATAGGATGTAGAAAAGTATGACACACATAATCTTGAAGGTATGTGGGTGGATGGTGAGATCTGCTGGACCTTCTAGAGGGTTGTATGTTAGGTTGAAGAGGAAAAGTTGGTTGAGTTGAGGGGAGTGAATGAGATGAGGCAGGGAACAAAATTGGAGAAGTAATTTGGTTATGATGGTTTGCTGAAATGGGAGAAGAAGGCAAAACTGGAGAGGATTCAATGTATGGCTGTGTAGAATCAAAAGTTGAAGGGAAAATGGGAGTTGAGGGTGACTGTTTGGTGAAAGGAAAGATGGTTTCATGAAAAATTATATCTCTGGAATCTTCAACTTTGTGGGTTTGAAGATTGTAAACCTTGTAAGCTTTCTTCCCATAAGGGTATCCTAGAAAGACACAAGGTGAAGCCCTTTCTTGAAACTTATTTCTTCCTTGTGACTGTGTAGAAGAGTAGCAAAGACATCCAAAAACTCTCAAATGATCATAGTTCGGTGCCTTGCCAAAAAGAACTTCATAAGGGGATTTATGTTTCAAAAGTTTGGTAGGGAACCTGTTGATGAGGTAAGTTGTAGTTAAGACACACTCTCCCCAAAACTTGATAGGTAAATGGGATTGGATGGATAAGGCTCTAGAAGTTTCCAAAAGGTGTTTGTGTTTTCTCTCAACAATTCCATTTTGTTGAGGAGTGTTCCTGACACTAGTTTGATGAAGGATTCCTTTGGAGAGGAAAAACTGGGTCATAAAACTGCTTTTCCCTAGTTCCAGGGCATTGTCAGATCGGACAACTTTGACTTGTTTGCTAAACTGCGTGTTAACCATAGCTAAGAAAGCTTGAATGATATCAGGGGCATTGCTTTTGGCTGCTAAAAGATAAGTCCAAGTTGCCCTAGAGAAATCATCTACTATGGTGAGAAAGTAATGAAAACCATTATAGGTTTTAGTATGATAAGGACCCCATATATCCAAGTGAATGAGTTCAAAAATTTGAGTGGAATGTGTTTGACTGTGGGGAAAGGGGAGTTTGTGTTGTCTAGCTTTAGGGCAAATATCACAACAAGATAAAGGATTGAAATTGAGATTGTATAGAGAACATATATGTTTGAGCTTATAAAAAGGCAAATGACCAAGTCTCATATGCCAAACTGTTACATCATGTGTACTAGAACAAGCCTTATTACAACAAACTCTACTAGAAACATCAGGTGTAGTAAAGACATTTTTATGAGTATTAGAAACACTGTTTGGTAAGGAGAGGAAACTGCAAGAGTGATGTAGAGACCACCATGCCTCTTACCAAGAACCACTGGCTTCTTCTTGGAAAGGTCCTGCAAGGTGCATGTAGATTGAGTGAAACAAATAGTAAGATTCAACTGACCACATAATTTGCCAATTGACAGGAGGTTGAACTTGAAATCAGGAACAAATAACACACCATCAATAGAAACATCATGAGGTAATATAGTGGTTCCAGTGTGTGAAACTTTGATTTGTTGATTGTTTGGAAGGGTAATGAAGTGAGGGTTAGGCAAGGGTGTAATGTTGGTGAGGAGATTAGGGTTAGCACACATATGATCAGTTGCACCTGAGTCTAGAATCCAAGCAGAATCATCAAGTTTAGACACAATATTACACATATGTGGAGACAAGGGATCACAAGGAAACAAGATCATACCAGCCATATGTGCAGAAAAGGCTTGAGAGTTTGCAATGGAGTTAGAAGCTTGTTGAATCATTCCTCCATGAAAGTTATTGAGAAGCCTCATGAGTTGATTGCACATCTCTGGACTGAACTGAGTTTCTGTTTTGGCTTCTTTGTTAGCATCAGATTCTTCATCATTGACAACATTTGCAACCATTTTTATTCCTTTGGAAAACTTGAAATCCTTAGGAAAACCCACCAATCTATAACACTTACTGGCTGTATGACCCTTTTTCTTACAATAATCACAAATGATAAGTCTCTTATCCTCATTTCTGCCCTTAGTGAGATTTAGTGCATTCACATTCAGAGAAGCATGTTCTGGAACAAAGGGAGATGATGTCTGAATTTCTCTTTGCTTTTCTTCCTGGATAAGCATGCTATAGGCAACAGCAACAGTTGGTAAGGGCCTCATCAAGAGAATGTTTCCCCTGGTAATGTTGTAAGCAGAATTCAGTCCCATTAAGAACTGGA